TCTGTTGAGGTTGGTACTATCCCTTCTTCTCAAGATGATGTTCTCATTACTTCTGGGAACTTAGTCCCAACACACAGAGAAGGAAAGGCACCGATGACCACAGATGAAGAAGCTGCTGCAGCTAAAGCAGCTAAATCTGTCAGATATCAATCTGAAGTTCCTGCAGCCGACAGACTTGTGCTTAGAGCTTCACTTCCTCAAGAAACTGATCTTCAGCTCCTAGGTATTTCCTCTGAGGATGCGGCCAACTCAATTGCTCTTCAAAAGAAATTTGAGGAAGCCAACAGATCTCACACCTTGGTCCCACAATCTGAGTCTGAAGAAACCAAAGAAAAAAGAATTAAATGGTTTAATGACTCGATTCTCCGACGCTACACTACTAGTCGAATCGTCAATGCCAGAATCAAAGGTCCTCAAAAATTGACCTATGATTCCAATCTGATCCTTTTGATTATTGGTCGAGAAAACGGAGCAGTGAGGACAGAAAAGCTGTCTTGGATCCACTCCTATGGTCTTACTGAGTGGATGAAGATCATCAAGTTTCTCAATAAAAGCAGAAGTATGTATAAGGAATATGTCTTGACTCATCTGTATCGCCTTCTCAAAAAGATACAGATGATCAAGATACATTACAAGCTGCCTTCCCCTCCACAACTCTCCTTTCTTAAGCAATTGTTAAGCAAAGCTGGCTCTTCAAAATCTGCTTCTGCCTCTGCCTCGAAGACCATCAAGAATCAAGACTCACTCATTCAGAAACTATCAAAGGAAGGTAAGGCTCCTGATGTCTTACATCTTGATCTTACCCTTCCTTCAGATGTTTGTCATCCGGAAGGAACTATCTTGTCCGCTCCTGAGCATGGAATATTCTTCTGGGACGCGAGTAGTTGCCTTCGATTTTTCCGAGCTTCTGAGATACCTATAGCTGATTCTCAGCTATTGCGCGTGATACTGAGTGTGATCAAAATTGGTGAAGCCGGAAGAGTCTTCTATACCTTGATCTCGGATGAACTGAAGAGAAGAGATGTTCTTGCAGTGCCTGATTCAAATGCCATGGAAGTAGACGATGATTGCTAGCTTGCCTATGTGAYTTCTTCTTCCTGAACTGATTTCTTCATGTAAGTATTTCATTCATTGTCTTGTATAAACGCAATTTGATTTTTTCAGTATTTACTTCAAATTTTTCATTCTTTATTTGTTTATCTCTGATTCGTTATTTGTTTGTATATATGTTTATAGTTTCAAAAAAAAAAAAATTAAAAAAAAAGGAAA